ACTCTTTTTGTCTTTCTGTTGATCTCTGTCAGTAATACAGTCTGTAGAAGTTTATCCATTTCTAAACATCCTTTCTTTTATTTATTTATTCATTTTTCCTTCCATTCTTCTCTAAATACAAAATCTGACTCCCAGCACATTTCTGTATTAATACAGGGACAAAGTGTCTTTTCATACATGAAATTCTGGCTTGTAGATGGGACTGGTGTGGGTGAGGGATGGTGGGGATAAGAGTCCTATATTATGAATCTGCCACATAACATTGACAAAACTGTTGTTCACTCTACAGATCTGTGCATATTACATAAACAAGTTTTGTAATTTTTTGTAAAAGTGAGAGATCGGCTGTTGCTGATTTGTTAAAGATTCATAAACATTACTAATAATTGTCATGTTTCCGCTGTCTGGGAGTTGTTAGCAGTTTTACCAAAAACAGATTTCCCCTCTAAACTTTGTCCATGGTTTCATTTAAATAACAGAGAAAAAAAAAACTCTCCAATGTTTCACAAAGAGCAGCAAAGACTGGAGAAATGTTGGAAGAATTATTACAAATCAGAACTGTGTCATCTCACAACCCCACAGATTTATCTGGTGACCCTTGGGAGGAGCCTGACCCCTAGGTTGGGAACCACTGGACTGAACTAGCTAACTCTACATACAATATTTAAACCAGCTACAGCAACAGCAGCTACAGCAGTAAAATGCTGATTACATGTTGACGCATCAGCATTAACAATGTCGTTAATTACCACAAGCCACAAGGTCCAATCTTCTACAGTACTTCAGGTAAATTTAGCTGATAATACTTCAGTACTTGTACTAAAGTACAGGAGTTTTTACATTGTTGTTTTGGTATTTTTACTTAAGTTAAGGATCTGAGCACTTCCTCCAGCTGTGCTAGATACAGTAGTGTCAGTAAACTTTCAGCTAAAAAACAAATAAACATCTTTCCACACTGACCTGCTATGATGGCAAACTGTTTACAGAGGACTGTGTGTGTGTCTGTGTGTGTGCGTGCGTGCGTGTGTGTGTGTGTGTGTGTGTGCTTGTATTTGCAGACTATATAAGTCACTCTCAGGCAAACTTGTGACTCACTGGGCTGCAATAAAACCTCTTTTCTTTCTTTCTCTCTGTCTCTGTCTCTCCCTTCAGGCTTCAGGGTCTCTCGACCACAGATCATTCATAGTGACCAAACTTAATCTTCTGCACAGATTTTATAATGTTAACAGACAGACAGACAGACAGACAGACAGACAGACAGACAGACAGACCAGCAGTGGAGGAGTTAACTCCCTGTCTGTCTCTTCACATTCCTCTTCTCCTACATTACCAGAAAACGCCCATTTATCTTATTTTTTCTTTGAGTTTACCAAAACCTTGAGAGAACCAGTCTCACGGTGCAGCTTCTCACCTTGAACCCCGCTGACATCCATCACCTGCCGGCATCAGACTGCAGCTCCTCCCAACGATCCAGCTCAGACCCACAGTCAGCTGATTTTAAAAAAAACTAACACTTGTTGTTAGTCAGTCTGTCGTCTCTGCTCCGCCGAGCAACGACTAACTTCTCTGCTTCTGCAACAAGTTAAAGTCAAACTTCAGTCCGAAGATTCAGCCGAGCAATAAACTGAGTCGCTGAGATTCACTAAATCCGCCTCTCAACAGTAAAGCGACCACTCACCTCTTTTCCGGTGGTACCTTCAAAATAAAAGTTCATTAAACACACACAGAATAGCTGCAAAGAAGGTCCACAAAGAGAAGGAAAACAACACATAAGAAGGAATATTTTGCACAAAAAGATGTAACTGCCAAGATCTGCAAAACCACCAAAAACTACCTTAAAGTGACATATCTCTTTCAGTCTGGGTTCTTGCTCCTATGTAGGACGGGAGGGGGGATTTAACGTTTCTGTGCCCAGGGGCCCATTGTCTCATGATCTAGTCACACACTGAATAAAGAATTTTACCGATGAAATTATAGATTTACCCATTAAAATCAGTGTTACTGGCAAAAGAAAGGATAGCAGAGAAAATATAGCTCGTTTATCAAGTAGCGCTGAAGAAACAACAAAATAATACTTCTTTGGTACCTATGAGAAATATAATTATGATTTCATACAACAACAAAAAAAACAGCAGCCATTCAAGAACTTTACCTAGAATAAATAAAGAATGTGTAAAATATAAAACTTAAATCAGGAACTATAAAGAATAAGCTGCAAACAAGAATATACATCTGGTTAGATATCTGCAGCTTTCAGTGCTTGACAGGTTTTGATGTCAGTACAACAAAGACATTTCTGTCTGCACCAAAACAGTAGAGGTTCAGCACTTATAGCAAGCTAAACACTTAAAAATAATTAGCAGATCAATTGAAAATGAAAATATTCGATATTTGCAGCCATTGTCAAGTGCCATACCGTGAGAGGACTTGTGCTTTTATTTTGAAGGCAGGCTGGTTCTGGGCTGGCTGACTTAGTGCCAGGCTGTTTGTGAGTTTTAGAGGCTGCTGTTGTTTTAAGTGTTGACGCCTCACAGCTCACACACTAAAGAGCTGTCTGCTGGTTTTTAAGTCAGTGAAGACTCTGTGTGTGTGTGTGTGTGTGTGTGTGTGTGTGTGTGTGTTATGGTAAGATACTTAAACTCGTCTGTCAGCTTGAAGCAAATGAGAGAAAATTACCACTCATGATGCAATATAAATACTTAGCTACTGTGCTGAGTATTTATCCCTCAGGTTACCTGATAAACTGCTTTTTTACAGCTTTGTTACTTGCTGTAAATTTTAAAATGCATTAGTTCACTTTTGCCTCCTATTGTCTTTTGTTTTTAATATTAGTAATTTTGTTTAGGTAATTGCACTAAAACTGTGCTTATTATGATAAATCATAAACTCTTACCAGTCATTGAAAAAAAAGATGAAAAGAGAAACAGTTTATTAGATGGAATTATTTATTTCCTACATTAAGGTACTATAAAACAGTACATTTCTAAAAATAAATGTAGAAAAATAGGAAAATAACAGTCTAACTATACAAAAACTGAAACAAAAGACATTTCCAAGAAAAAGTGAAATTATAAAAATAATATTTACAAAGTTGGAAATGCCGAAACTTCCCTTCCAATAAACTCAGACCTGCAGAGAAGTTGTCACTCTGCTTTCAGCAGCAACCACAACATTTGTGTCAGAAAATAAAAATACTTTATAAAACTTTAACCCATGGTCCGGTCCAGGGGAGGACAACGTGACTGCAGCTGCTGATCATGAAAGAATCAATAACTGAAAGTCGTAGTGTCCTTCAGATATAATGACCAATGTTCATTGGATCAATAACAAAAGACGCACAGACGCCCATTTCCACCAGGAGGAAAAGAAATGATCATATTCACAATTGAAAAATAATGATTCAGACACAATGATGAGATAAAAAGCTAACAGTTTTGGCTTTTTAAATCAAAATTATGACATACTATCTTTTTATTTACTTTTTCATGTATTTATTTCTTGTCTTGGCAGGAATGGGCTTCCATTGTGGCGTTTATAAAGTGGTTTAGTTTTATAATGCCCTCATCCTTGCTGCTCCCTGCAACAATGTTCAAAATGATTACAAAGCATTAAGAAATATATAACTATAAATGCAACATTAATATTCAATTCTTATATATGTAACCATAAGCTTCACAAAGCAACCAGTTTTCAATATATTATGGTGTAGAGGTGGCGCCACCAGCCAAATGAGTTTGAGTTATAGATTCTGAATTTGTGAATTAAAATGCAAAGAAAATAAAATTCATAAAACTAAATTTCAATCCAACATGTAATTCACACAACTCGTCCACCATGTTATATCACATTAGCAGGTTTTAGTACATTTTTGACAGTTTATCAAAGTTCTTTGACAGTTTAATGATTTGTGATTAGGGAGTGGTCATCCTGTTACTTGCTGCTTCAAATGACATTTCTATGTTGAAAACATTTTAAAATAAGGTACGTGTTAAAACATATCACAGAGGAAATACAGCGCTCATAAAAATGAATATTTATAAAATGTTCTAGTACCAACTGTTTCAGGGGAATTCCGCTTTCTAATGAAAAATGCTCCTCCTAAAACAAAAAGGCACATTAAATGAAAAAAACAGCATCGTTCACTAATGAATATGTGATTTTCCCCAAAGTATTAATGTTTACTTGCTTTTGGTCCAACATGTTGAGAATAATACAAAAGACATCCTCGTTATTATCAATGTCCTTAAGGTGTTGATACATTCAGCAGCTTTTGTTAAAAATCTTTGTGGATACCAGAACTTCACAAGCTGCTTTGATCCCGTTGGATGTTGTTGCCGTGGAAAATCTGAACATTTTTGGCGCTGTGTCTTCCTGTGTTTCTGTATCAAAAAGTGCCTGAACAAACAGTGTTTCCGCATCATGTTTTGGTACCAAACATCAGCTCATACACGAGTCAGCTGTCAATCACTCAAGACGCAGTCTTTGGTTTGAATGGGTCTGCTCCACCAGCTTCTGGAGACCCGGTCCTTTAAAAATCCTTCCAGACAGGGCAACCAGTAAGTAGCTTCTGGTGTTCCAGCCCTCAGTGGTTACCAGGGTTAGCGTAGTTATCAATGTTCTAGAACTCAGTGATTACCACAGTTACTTGGATTATTGTTCCAGAATGTAGTGGTTACCATAGATACCAGGGAATAATGCTGTGCAACCTAGTGATTACCACAGTTACCAGGGACCAGTGTTCTAGAAATGCAGTGGTGACCATAGTTACCAAGGACTAGTGTTCTAAAACTCACCGGTTACCATAGCTACTAGGGACTGATTTTCTTGATGCAGCGATTACCATAGTTATCGTACCTATCAATGTTCTAGAAGGTAATGGTTACCATAGTTACCAAGGACTAGTCTTCTAGAACATAACAGTTACAACAGTCACCAGTGACTAGTGTTCTCTAAGTCAGTGGTTACCATAGTTACCAGGGACCAACATTCAAGAACTTGGTCATTTCCACAGGTGACCCACTCTAATGCCTTTTAATGATTCCAGTTTTATTTCCACGGTGATCAGATGATGGCACTGCTGAGAAAGGATTCAGGTCTACGACCAAAACATATTTGGCCCTGTGATGACATCACGGGGCTAGTCCTCTTTTGATTGGCTGGAGGCGTCTCCTACAATGAAGCTACAGGAGCGAGGCCGTCACTGTGCTCCAGGTGGTGGTGATGGTGCAGCTCAGCTTTACAGACTGTGGCAGTGCTGCAGCGGAGCGACGTGACAACAGGTGGCTCTTCATCACCTGAAAGACAAACGGCCAGGTGTGAACGACCTGTTCGTTTTCATCCAGGAAGTCATTTATTCAACACACAACAAATTAAAATGAAATTATAACAACATAGAATAACAGCATACAATGATATTTCAAATGTAAAACAACATCAGGTGCGTTTGTAACAGCCAGCCTTACCCAGCCCTGAAGAAGATGATTCGCTGTCGGCCAGGGAGGAGGAGTCAGCCTGGTCATGTGACAGTCCCTCCATTAAGGGGATGGAAAGCTCCGAGGAAGGGACAGATGAATCATAGATGCCCGAATCACGAGGAGGTGGGACCTCTGGAGGGGAGGGACGGCCTTCTTCTGCCCGGGCGGGAGGAGGACACACCCCATCCTGGAGGATGGAGGGAGCAGATGAGGAGGACGAGGAGGAGGACGAAGGTTCTTCAGGTAAAAGTTCAGATATTCCAGAAGTGGACCTGATGGAGAAGAACAACAGCAGCCGTCAGACTGACGAGTGATCTCATATTACCTGCTGTGTAGTCCAAACCACGGACTCAGTGCACCGAAACTCACCATCACCAACACTGACGGTCAAACCAAACAAAAGCATCAATATATAACAGTCTGTAGGTTTCATGACGAGTTGATACAAACTCAATCAGCATCAACAGCAGCTGCAAACAGTCGTACAAAATTCTCTTTTTCATACTGGAATCTCGCTATGAAATAAAAGCTTTATGGTCATCTGGAAGAGGAATGATACAGTGACCAGTAACTATACTACTATAATATAATACTTTACTAACAGGCAGGTGAGTTTAGCATCAAGATGAACTTCCTTTAGAGACTGAAATGTGACCCAGGTGGTAAAAAAAATAAACTCAGCTTTAATGCTCACAGTAAAACGATAGAAAGCTAGAGTGGTACTACAGCTTTCTTTACCTTGAAGTGTGTCCCAGCATCGACAGAGAACAGTGTGGTAGGCCTGGACTGGGACAGACACCAGGACTGGGACAGGGACCAGGACTAGGACAGGGACCAGGACTAGGACTGGGACCAGGACTAGGACTGGGACTGTGGCTGTGGCCGGGGCCAAGATTGAGGCTGGGATTGGAGCCGGGGCCCAGCAGGAGCATGTTCCTCTTTGGGACTCCATTCCCACCCTCCAGCGACGGCGTCCTCACCACCACCTCATTCAGCACCAAGCCGGAGTCAAACCTCTGCTCGGGCTGAGTGGAGGAGGAGACGCAGGGAGGCTTTGGAGGAGGGCTGGGAGCCGGGACAGCGGGGAGAGGAGAATGTTTGGAAGAGGAGCCGGAGGAGGCGGAGGAACCTGCTGCAGGAGGCAGCTGCTTGTCGAACCAGTCGGGGTTCTGGCTGATGTGTTGGTGCATGTTGCAGATGGAAACGTAGAGTGAGCGTCCAGACTTACTCCTGAAGTAGTTCCTCCTGGAGACGTTGAGAGGCTGCTGCTCACGGTCAGCTAAACTGGACTGACTGGAGTGGAGCCGACTGAACAGCTGAGGCAGCTGGTCCATCAACTTGAACCTAAACACAGGACAAAACGACCCACTCTGTTAATCTTTGGTAATAAGTGACTGTTTACTACCAAAAGCTTTGGTTTCTACCAAAGAGAGACAAAACTTTAGATAAAAAAAGATTTAGTGAAAGATTTGTTAGTTTCATATCTCCGTAAATGCAAACAAAAACAAACAAAAACGCACAACTTCTGCATATTTTTGTGTAAAATCCCAAGACTTAAACACTTCACCTCCTGCCTATAGTCAATGCAAAATGTCTCAGCCTGTTATTATCCTGCTTTATGGACCGCTGTCGGACACGATCACATGGACAGTGTAGGGCGGCTGTTGCGCCTGTTGTTCTGTCCCGTAGTGCTGCAGTTACCTTGGAGCCAGACTCAACATGGTGGGGATGTCGTTCTCTGTTGAATAGTCAAAGTAAACCGTCATGAAGCGGTTCAGCTCCTGAGCCCCACCCCCCTCGCTCTGCTTCACCAGCCGCAGCTTTTCAGCGATCATGGCCACGGCCACTATGAACAGGTCACTGCCGGATCCACCGATCGGAGAGCTGCTGCTGCCGCTGCTGTTACCACGGCGACTGACTGGCGTCTTCCCTCTGCGACTCTTCTTCTCCACATAGTAGCTGCAAAAACAGAACCGAGCTGTTTAGAATAGAAACAATACAATATTGAGGAGTGAGAGAGAGGAAAGATAAGGAAAGTATGAAGGAGGGACAAAAGGAAGGAAGGAAGGAAAGAAGAAATGGAAGGATGGATGGAGGGAAAAGGGAAAGAAGAAAAATTTAAAACAAATAGGATGGAGGGATGAAGAGAAGGTGAGAAGTAAACTTACAAAACACATCACTACTCCTGAGTGTCTCACTTCTCATTGACTGAAATTTAAATACAACTTTGGGGATGTTCACTACACAGCAGTCAATGCCAGAGTTTTAGCAGCATCTAGTGGCCACCGGAGGAACTGCAGCTCAAGGCACTTGTGAAACATCAGCAGTAGTTCGGACAGAGGCAGAGTAGACAGTAGATAGAGTACCGTAGGCCTCTGGAACAGACGGTGATGATGAAGTTGGCTTCGTCCAGCTGTCTGCTTAGCCACGACATCTGACCCTCTTTGCACGTCTCCAGATGTTCCCACAGATCCAACACAACCTGAGCAGATGTGAAAAGTACCCAACCTTCAGACTAGCAACTTTGATTTAAAGGACGTTTTATTTTTCCTCTTCGTCGCCCAGGTATTATCTGTCTCACCTCGCAGTTGCAGAAGTCCTGCAGGAAGTAGGCGAAGCTCTGGATGACGCTGGTGTGTTTGGGACAGTCTCTGTTGGAGTAACAGATGAAGACTTTGGGACGAGGCCACGGGCGCTCCGTGTTCAACGCTGCACTGTGATTGGAGGACTCGCTGCTCTCCTCATCCAGCTGGCTGTAGATGTTTTCTAGGAGAGGAGAGAAGACAAATGGAAAAGATATATTAGACATTTTAAATTAAGCACTAAGTGAAAACACCAAGTGTGCAGGAGACAGTGAACTAAAAGAAGAAATATCGCCAACTTTAAGTGCTCTCACCTTGCTGCTTCTTACGACACATGACGGTGAAGAGAGTGGCGAAGGCCGACATGATGACCAGAGGCACTGTGATGGCCATGGCGCGGATAGGACCCGCCCAGGGGGAGTGGACTGAAGGATGAAGCATACACACCCAGCATGAGACAACAGAATCGGGTTATTGAAAGACCTTATGGGATAACGGTAAATGATGAAACCTTAGAGTAACAGCAGTGCAGCAATAGAAAGGAGCAACAGAGTCAGTGAACTAACTTATGTGGATTACTGTGCTATTCCTATAGTGTGTGTATGTGTGTGTGTGTGTGTGTGTGTGTGTGTGTGTGTGTGTGTGTGTGTGTCTCACCTTGGCTGACGTGGTACTGCGTCTGCCTCCTGGTCGTGTTACAGTCGTCTCTCAGCTGACACAGAACAGAAGAAAAATAAATAAATCATTACATCAAATGGAGAGAAAATGATTCACAGCATGAACAGATATGAAAGTCAAGTGATGAAACTGTGCTGTGTAAACTAAGCTCGGTCCCGTGCTGCGTTCATGTACCTCTACGGTGTAGGTCCCTGGAGTGACGTCCTGGAGGATACATGTGGTTCTGGGCTGGTTCACGTCCTGCACACAGTAAACACATCATTAAAACATTCTAGGTCAGGAAGCATCGTATCTTATCGTTTAGGTAAGACATTAATTCTCACAAATTACAAATCAGAGCAACCGACTGTCACAATGTTCTTTTTCAGAGCTGGAGTGAAGTTCACCTCCGGTCTCCTCTAATCACAGGGTTGGTCGGACACTGAATCATAGATTGATGGACAGGCCGCGGGTGAACGAGAGGCAAACTGTAAAGTGCCCCGTCCACAAAGGTAGAAAAGTGCCGTCTATTTACCACTGACAGAACAGACGACAGAGACCCTGCCATCTTTGTACGTTTGAGTAACAGCATCTTAAAACCCCCTTTCTGACAGCACAATCTGGGTGGATGGCAGAGAGCCACTGTCCACGTTTGCATGATTCATCACACTGAGACTACAAAGACGCACAAAAGACAGAGAGAGAGAGATGGGGGAGGCAGTGGGATGCAACCTTTCACCTTCACCTCCTGGTGTGGACATTCAGGACAGGCTGAAACATGTGGTCGGACCAAACTTAGTCCCACCTTTAGTTTGTTTAAAGCAAGACCTCATGCCAAAAGAAAACAAGCTAAGGCCGCCTCAAAGACTTGATAAATGAAACACTTTGGTCACAAGAAGACGTCGTATTAATATGTAGCAGTGGTCTTTTTGCACGTCACATAAATTTGGTCTTACTGGTTTGCAGCGCTGCAGCCTGAACGGTCCGTCCTGCCGCAGTTTGTAGTACAGGTAGTAGAAGTGGAAGCCGAAGGAGGCCGGAGCCTGGTCGAACGCCACGTGGAGGTTTGAGCCCAGCTGGGACACGTTCAAGGTCTTTGGCTTCCAGACTGCATAGACAGACACAAACAAAACTTAACCTCCACTCTCATGGACATGTAGTGCTTCTACTTATTAGTCAGTGGTACAAAAGTGACCATCAATTCAAAATTTGAATATTCACCTCAACAGCAGAGATTCGGATTTATTTCTAAGTATATTTGATCATGGTTTATTTAGAAACCTCCTTGTCTGCTTCAGGTTTAACCTGCAGTTTATTCACCTGTTGTCTTTTCAGCATCATCACCATCAGTTCAACAAATGAGTCGTGTCATACTCACCACTCTGCTGTTCTCAGTTTTTCTTTTTAACACTAACGGTGTCTTTTGATCTGAGTTAATCTACTGTCAAACTCAACACTTCCTTCAAAAACGTGACAAACATCATCCGTCTTTCCTGCTAAGCTTTTAATGTGAAACATCTGCACCAGCCTCTTTTGTTCTGGCAGGTGTGGAAACAAAGGATATACAACTTTATGACTCAAGTAAAAGCTTCTTCATGGCACTGATTGGATTAAAACCTTATGTAATCGCTTTGTCCTCAGACAGAAACTGTGTCAACTATTTAAGGCTTAAAATTAGTTTGTGGAAATGTATCATTTACATTTAACTGCTCTGAGAAGAAGACGATCAAACCCTGGACTAACTCTGTTTACATGTGGCTCTGGTTATGACGACAACACTGAGGAACTTACATGGTTTGCAAACCAGGTTGTCTGATCCCAGGAGGACTTCACACGCTGTAACACACACACAGAAATGATTAGACGGTTTGTCCTCTTCAGTTCAATGATCAGACACATTTTTAAAAAGGGACAGTCTTGACCTCTTTCCTGTCTTCCTCAGAAAGGTCCAGGTTTTGTTTTAGCCTAGCTTAGCACAAAGTGGAAAAATTCAACCTTCCAACAACTCAAAAACTGTCCACATGTTCTACCTCGTGAGGTCGTCTCCCAGTCGAGAGTTAGCCGGGTTGTGTTGACAGAGGATTAAAGACAGACCTCACACCTGGCAGTATGAGGACTGTGAGGAAGTCTGAGATGCTGTGTGCAGTCACAGCGGCTCAGTAATCCTTACTTCTGCAGAGCTAGGCTAACAGTTTCCTCATGCTACCAGTATTAGCGCTCAGCTAAGCTAAACTAAGATAAACTAAACAATTTAACATCAATTATCAGTGTGTAATCTGTAATTTGAGTGAATTAAGTATTTGAATTTGATTTGATGTTTTCATCTGACAAAAATTTTATTTCCCCCAAATATAAAAATGTTCCTTTTAATTAATAATCATTTGTAGATGTCTGACGAGGTAAAAAAACAAAACAAATAGCGGCAGAAATGTTCAGGGAAAGTCTTAAAGGTGTTCGTCAGGTAGCAAGAAGGAATGGTCTATTGGAGACAATTAATCACTTAATAAATCAATCAACTGATTAACTAATCCATCGTGTGTGGATGAGGGCAGTACTGGACTCACAGTTGGTCCGGAGGAAGGACGGAGGGAAGAAACTCTCGTTCATCAGAGTCGGGAAAGGAACAACACGAACCATGTAGTCGGTGTCAAAGGTCAAACCGCTGAACGGCTGACTGCTCAGCTTCTGTGTGAGGGAATCAATAATAAATCAATAGTAACTAATACAAATAGTCCGGACACAAGATTAATGTGGAGAGGTGAACAGGTGACATCAGGCGAAGTCTTTCAGGTGAAAACTTAAGGTTTACGCTGTAAACTCATAGTCTTAGGAAGAAGAATAATCACCTGCGTCCTCAGCTGAATGTGATTGGTTAATTTGAGTCACAGTTTTTTGGTCCTACCGTGTTCCTGTAGGAGAAGTTGAGCTGCCTCGGGTCTTTGAGGATGAGGTGTTGACACTGTTTCCCCTCTGGGTTCTTGTCCTCCAGATAAACTCTGAAGCCTTTAATGTGTTCGATCCCTGCAGAGACACAGCAGGAAGTTCAGCCTCACCGTCCGTCCAATCATCCGCAAGCATCCTTCTCTCCTCATTTCCTTTCCTTCTCTCCTACATCTGTCTTCATTACTTAATCTCTTCTTTTTTTCTTTTCTCCTCCTCCTGCTTCTGTGTCCTTCTCTTCACTCCCTTGTTTCCTTTCCTTCGTTATTCTCCTTATTCTCTTCCCTCTGGTCACTTTCGTCCAACCATTGTTTCCAAGACAGCCATCCTCTTACCTCCTTGTCTCCTTGTCTCCTTCTGTCCTCTCCTTTCTTCTTTCCCTTCCTTCTCGTTTCTGTTTCTGTCTCCTCTCCTTGCTTCCTTTCCCTCCTTTCTTCTCCCTGTTCTCTCCTCACCAGATTTCTTTCTCCTCCTCTCCTATCCTTGTAACATTTCCTTTCCTCCTCTCATATTTTTCTTTCCCTCCGCTTCTTGCTTACTTGTTACTTTCCTTACTTCCTTTTGTCATTTCCTCTCCTTGTTTCCTTTTCTGTCCGGTCCTCCTCATTTTCTTGCCTACTTTGCTCCTCTCTCCTATTTTCCTCCTCACCTCTCCTTTTTTATTTCCCTTCCTCCCCTTTGCTTCATTTTTAATTTCATCTCCCCTGCATCTCGTTTACTCCATTTGTCCTCCTCTTGTTTTCTTCTTTTCTCTCCTCCCCTCATCTCGTCTCCTTATTTCCTTTGTCCCTCCTACCCCCCCCCCCACATGTTGCTACCTTATATCTCCTTCTGTTCACTATTTGTTTCCTTACTTCTCCTCTGTTCCTTGTTTCCTTTCCTCTTCCCTCCCCCCTTTTGCCCCACACACCCCACCTTGTTTCCTCCCCCTCCTCCTCCTCTCTGCCCTTTAAAAACAGGTCTGTCTTGTAATTACACCTTTACATCCACAGGACATGTTTTTCCTATTAGGAGTGAAAGGAGGGAGGGAGAGAGAGAGAAGAGAGAGAGAGAGAGAGAGAGAGAGAGAGAGAGAGAGAGAGAGAGAGAGAGGTAGCAGAACAGGTTTTTGTGTCTTGAGGCAGATTCCTCTCTCTCTCTCTCTCTCTCTCTCTCTCTCTCTCTCTCTCTCTCTCCTGCAGAGTCGAGGACAGACGAGGATGTTTTCGCATGTTAACAACAGCTGCAGTGTGACAGCAGGTGTGTGCTCCTTGGCTTCAGTGCAAGTTCTACATGTTTCAACCTTGATTTAAAGTATTCGTTATAAGCTTCACTGGAGGCTCTCGAGATGTCGAGAGTAAAATATCTGAAAAAATTCTCAAATTCATCTGCCAAAAAAGAGACAAAACACACAATAAACAAAGTTCAAGATAAGTTTGACTGATAGCATCATTATATCTTTTTCCAAATCTCCTATAGATATATATATATAGATTATATCGTTATCATGAACCTGATATGGTGACGGCCCTGTTAGGATCACCGCACTAACACTGGGTGGTTTCTCCCTCTGCTCTTAAAACAGCCTCAGTTCTTCGTGGCATCGATTCCACAAGATGTTGGAAACTTTCCTCTGAGGCTCTGCTCCATGTTGACATGATTGCATCACATCATTTTTGTAGATTTGTCAGCTGCACATTCATGCTGCCAATCTCCTGTTCTACCACATCCCAAAGGTGATTCAGATCTGGAGACTGGGGAGGCCGCTGAAGTTCACTGAACTCGCGGTCATGTTCATAAAACCAGTTTGGAGACGACTTTTGCTTCGTGACATGGAGCAATATCCTGCTGGGAGTGGCCATTAGAGGATGGTAAACCGGGGCTATAATTTGTTTTGCTTAAAATCTTAAAATCTTTTTAAACTTTCAGCTACGAAGCTGAGCAGGAGACGAGGTCGTTAGTTTGACAGATAGATGTTCATGTGTGACGTGGAAGATTTCTGTCTCTCTGTGAGAAAACAACAGGCGGCATTGTCACAGAGAAGGAGAGAGAGAGAGAGAGAGAGAGAGAGAGAGAGAGAGAGAGAGAGGTTCACCTTACACAGAGCACACGCACCAACACACATTCCTTTACGGTCAAGTCGTGGTATTATTGTGTGAGATGTGATCCTCTCTCTCTCTCTCTGTGGGGCTGATAAGGGACACACACACACAAACATATCACACACACACACACACACACACACACACACACACACACACACACACACAGAGCTGGGTAATCTTACAGATTTGAGCACTCTGAAGGTTTTACTCTCCTGTTCCTCCCTCACTTCTCTAAATCTCTCTGAAGAGCCAGAGAAAAAGAAAGAGAGAGAGACAGACGGACACACAGTCGGACAGGTAAACAGACAGGTAAACAGACAGACAGTTACCTAGTGGACTTGCAGACCAGTGGACGACCACGGCGGCCTGGTCCTCACAGGCCAGGTGGCTGAAGGAGACATTGGTGACTTCATGGATCACATGTTTCCCCAGTGGGTAGTTTAATGAACAGTCTACAGGGGCGAGAGACATGGACAGAGACAGACAGAGAGAGAGAGAAAGAGAGAGATCAACAACTGCACACATGGTTTGAAAAAACAAGACATGTGATGACGTCATAAAGGTTTTAACAGGCAGATGAATTGATAATGAAAATAATCATCAATGCAGCCCTAAAACAAATCAGACTTTAATTTGTTATTTACAGTGGTTACATTTTTAAACAAATAACTACACGAGTCGAGAACAGAGCTGACTTCTTAGCAAAGATTTCAGTTTTAGTTTTAAAGTGATAAAGACGACAGAAAGTCACATGATGCTTAGAAACAGTTTGACTTTGAGGAAACAGGTGACTGTCAGCGGGAGCAGGCTGTACACCGCTGTTCCTATTTTTATGACCCAGACCTTCACTCATTCATCACCATGTGTACTCACCTCCTCCTGTTCCCAACATTTCTCTTGTGTTGTTGAGGAGGAGGAGGGGGGTGGGGTGGGGGGTGGGGGTGGGGGGGCAGCCAGCCATGAACCGAGAGGGATCGGAGGAGAAAAGATGGACTTAGGACGCAGAATGAAAAGGGGCGTGAGCTCAGACACGACTGACTGCTCCTCTTTCCTCCTGCCAGCCACCTATTGACGGAGAGGATTGAGGTGAGGAGGAGGAGGAGGAGGAAGATGGGACAGAGGAGAGGAGCTTAAAAAGGATGGAGATGACTGAGAGGAGGTTAGGAGAGCATGGGATGCACGAACCATCGCTCCTCTTCCTCTTGCCTCATTATCACCCAGTGGGGTCATGTTCAGGGCTCAAGGAGAAGGTCACGGCTCGTCACTCCTCTTCCTCCTCCTCCATTATAAAGCTCCTCTATAGGATGTGAGGAGGAGGGAAAGGTCGCAGCTTGTTACTCCTCTTTCTCCTTCCCTCCTGTTTGTCTTTAGAGTTTTTTATAAGACAAAAGAGGAGGAGGAAGAGGAGGATGAAAGAGGGATGTGATGCTGGATGACGGGGACAAGTTTTATCTTTAGTTCTCACCTTCTTACTCCTCTTCCTCCTCTTTCTCCTTCCAGTTTAAGAAGGAAAGAGAAGGCTACAGCCCTCACACACTAAAACGCTCAGTTAAGTTGTTTCCCACTGAAGACGTAAACCACAGAAATACAGTTTCGTTTCCTAAAGCAGCTGGGCACTGTGGTCTTTTACTAAAATGTTCCTCAAACAAAAGTAAATACCGGATTTGTTGGGGACTACTTTCAGCGGCGGATTAATAGAGAGCCGAAGTGAAAACATATAACTCCTCGGTTCTGTTTAAGAAAGAAAAACTCGTTAGAAATCCAACTTCCATTTGCATCAAAAGCTAATAATCTAAATAATAAATCCAGCCTCAGAAATCTAAGTAAACCTGCGGCGTCAACTGATACAGAGACAGAGTCGATACTTGTTGGTAGGATCGGCTGCTTGTTGGTTTTGGTCTTTACATTGCATCTGTCGACTATGAGAACAAATGTTGAAATTCTCCAGACTTATGTGTTCGGATCTGGCTGATCTCATCACCTTCCCTCTGTGACCAACTGCAGGTCAAAGGTCACCCTGCTTTATATTCCCCGTTACATCACTGCAAACAGAGTCAGAGGCACAAGAAGAGAACAGAGTCTCCTCCGTCCTCCTTCATCCTCCAACAGCTGGAGGTCCAGAGGAAAGGAAGCAGTGAGGTGTGTCCCTCCCTCAGCACACACACCAGTACACACACACACACACACCACTACACACACACCAGTACACACACACAATGAGCCGATTCCGATTGCTGATTGTCATGCTAAAACACCTCTGCGCTTTACTTTGACTTAAAACTGTGTGGGTTTCAACACTTTTTATTTCATGAGTTCTTAAAGAGGATGCATCATCATTTCAGCCACATGACCTTCTGACCTCTGACCTCCATATTATTGGTGACATAATATGTATTAAGAATTAACGAATTGCTTTTGTAGAGAGAGAAAAGGAGACGTGGCAGCAGCTGAAAATGTAAATTCACTGGGAGACCCTCAGAGAGAACAACTGCTATCAGTGAATAGTTACGATGACACGTTGTATTTAAAGGAACAGTTTCACATTTTAGGAAATACACTTATTTGCTTTCTTGCCAAGAGTTTGATGAGAAGATCAATACCTCCTCTCATATCAGTAAAGGTACACTATCGTTAGCTTAGCTTAGCATAAAGACTGGAAACGGAGGGAAACAGCTAGCCTGGCTCTGTCCAGCGGGAGGGGTGGGAATCTTTGGGAATGTCATGAAGGGATTTGATTCTGATTCTTGGCGCAAAGATTTTAAATCTGTGAATTAACTCAGACTGAAAACAAGCTGAAACAATTAGTTGATTAATTGACAACTGGATCATCAAAACAAACAAATAAAATGAATAAAAACAACATTTTTTAACTGATTCTTTTTGTAATTTTTCAGTCAAAATGAGTGAAAACATTTTTGTGGCTCTGCAGTTTCAGGACTTGCTTTTTTTTTCTTCATTATATATGATTTTTAAAATATGTTTATTATTTTGCTGTATATATGTGAATTTTTGATTTCATTTCATTTTATACATTTTTGATATGGTTGATGGAGTTATGATCAATACAGTCCTGAATGTATTACTCCTGCAAAACAAATTAACCTGTTGATTATTATTACACTGTTTTAAACTTCCTTCATTGAGTTTTGTTTCTATTTTTCACAAAAAACTCCTTTAAAATAGTTAAACATCAGGTTGATATAAGGATTGCCTGAAGACTGTGAACAGAGACACACACACTCTCTCCACACACACACACACACACACACACACACACACACACACACACACAAAGAGGAAGCTGAAAGTGCTTCTCGCTCATGGTCACGGACAAAAGCAGGAGGCAGGGATCGGCCACGGCTCAGGAACTTGACTTTTAGAGAGAAAAGAACAAAAGAGGAGGAGGAGGAGGATGGTGGAGGAGGAAGAGGATGAAGATGGGGGTGGAGATGCGGGGTCGAGGCGGTTTGCAGATTTTCACGTTAGATAACATGATGGAAAATAAAAATTGACTTTGGGATCTGAACTCTCAGAAGAATCCACAGAAAATGTTTTGATACTGTGACTTTGGGGAGAAATGTCAGAGACCTACATGTCGCACATAAACATGAAGAAAAGTTTCATTCTAAGTTTTATTATTATGAGTCTGAGGTAAAACAGTCAGAGCATCCAGAGATACACAGAAACTCACTGTCAGCTCTGAAGGTGACGGACAACCTGCGACCTCCATCTGCACCAGACTGCACCTGAGAGAGAGAGAGAGAGAGAGAGAGAGAGAGAGAGAGAGAGAGACATGACATTAGAAAAAGCTTACCTAGAATCATATTTTTTCTCAATTCACAGATTAAACGTTTTGTCTATAAAACATCAGGAAACAGTGAAAAACGCTCAGTACAAATTCCTCCAACACAAGGTGACGACATTAAGTGTCTTGTTTAGTTTGAACCCCAAAAAATTTGATTTATAATAACAATGACAAGAAGCAGCAGCAAGTGCTCACACTCAACATGGAAATATAATGTTTGTGGCATTTTGTCTTGATAGATCACTTGGATGATCAATCGATTAACAAAATAGTTGGCAATCGCATAAACTGATTAAATCAACACATCGGTCAAGCTAATTCAAATTGGCATGGTGTTGTGTTCACTGACAGCTTTCCAAGGTGGGAAAACAGTCAACCCCGTCATCTTCCTGGTCCAGAACCAGAAAAAATAACGACAAAAAAACTGACACGATAAAAGCAACAAGTGTTGATGAGATGTTGACTTGCAACAAGCTGCAAGGAAACTTACAAAACAACTCTTGTATCAACATTTTTTTTTTAATCCATGTGTAAAACATTAAGTTAACTCTTTGTAGCAGCTGCTAGTTCAGCCCCAGTCAACTTCCTTTTGTCTGGTTTAACTAAAATAACTTCCTCATATATGTGAAACTTTAAGAATGAAGAGAA